AATTCTCCCCCTCCGGTTTAGTCCAGAGACCAAGTCCTCAAGGTGCGTACGCTACTCCCCCGCCAGTCTTTGGTGAACCGCGCCCTTGCCGCATGTTCCCAACGAATGCCACCGTCCCATATTCCCGGCTCTCACCATTCCGGCGAGTTATGGGCGTCGCTCTCTCCGGGAGATTCCTGCCTGCAGTTCAGGAGGGTGCATTGCACCATGGCCAGCCAACCCTCGTGGGCCTCGCAGCCACTCTCCCGTGATAGCGACAGCTTGCATCCCCATCCCCAGCTTCTGCTCGGCGGGTGCCCGGAGCCACAACCTCCAGATGCAACGGGAATTGTTCTTTGGGCAGGACCGCTCCTGGCGGTCAGGCTCAAGTGGCCGCTGTCCTTATCAGCGGCCCGGTCTCCACGAGACAAGAACCAGAACCAGAACCAGAGCCCGAGCCTGAGCCCGAGCCCGGGAGTTTTCCAGTGACTCCTTATCTGCCGGCGTGAGGCTGGCGGGCCGGAGTCACGGGCTAACACCCGGGTGGTTCTGCGACACGCATTCTAAGCGAGTGTACCTCCAGAATCACCAGGCGTGAGAGCTTCACCCCCTTCGATAGGGTCCAGCCTCTTGCCGCAGGGTCTGGGAGTGTCTGCTGAGTCCCGAGTCCCGTTGGAGTAGCCGTCAATGCTGCAGTGCAGCTGGATCGACTCCCCGCACTCCCCTGCTACGCTTATCTTGCATCCACTGCGATTTGGGGTTTCGGGGCTTTTCTATCTCTTCACCGACAGTTTGTTGCAGGAGCATGTGCTGACCCAGATCACACGTGTAGAAACGAGCGGTTCCAGAGTGATTGTCCCTTCCCGCGTCAACCCGCCCGGCATTCCTCGAACCGCCCGCCGCTTCCCCTCCGTTATCGCCCAACCGCGCCCTCCCTCCCCAACCTTGAACGGCCTCGAGTTCACGACCCCCTTATAACTCGCCCGTCATGTCTGCCACAGCCACCCAGCAGCCTCCCCCCTCTATCCCACCACGCCCATCCAGGAGTCAGGAGAAAGCATCATTACCAATGGTTCCCCCCCGCCCGGCCAACCGCCGGTTGGAGCGCTCCCTGAGCCCCAACCACGATCGCTTCGCCCCCTCGCCGCTCAACGAGGCCCTCCTGTCCAAGTCTCCCCGCCCGTCGATCGCCGGCATCTACCACTCGAACAATGTCGACCGCACCAAGTCGGTCGAGATCCCCTCCACCGCCGGCGAAGAGGGCCTGGAATACGCCGCCATCTCCGAGGAGGCCAGCAGCCCCGAGCATACCCGCACTGTCGGCGACCTCAAGCTCCACGCCCCAAAACCTTCGCTGCCCGCCGTTAGCGCCAAGCAACGCGTCATGGCCGTCACCCGCACTGATAGCGACAGAGCGGCTGCATTTGGCATCGGCAGGCCCAGCAGTAACGATGACTCGACTCACCAGCTCCCCTCCAACCGCAGTCTGAAGAAGAAGGCTAGCACTACAAGTCAGCTGTCGGCCACGGAGAGCCAGTTTGATGACGAGCACGGAATCCCAGAGATCGGCCAGCAGGTGCCCATGTACCCCAATGCCGGTGACGTCCAGGCGCCTTCACCCGCCCCCAGCGCCCTCGAGGGTTCCAAGAAGCATCACACCCGCAGGTCTTCTTCTCGCGGTATCCCTCCTGGAAGCTACGGCCTCCACGGACACGGCTTGGGGGGACAAGAAAAGCTTGACAAGCTTGACAAGGCATACTACGAGAAGCACCCAGAGGCCCTCAAGAAGGAGAAGACATCGCACCACCACGACCGCGCCAATGATTTTTCCATGTCCAAGGATGACCTGGAGAAGATTGTCCGAGAGACAGCCAGTCGCGGATCCGGCATTGGTGAGCAGAACAACGTATTCCTGTTTGTTGACCTGAGCTAACTCCATACAGCCGTCAAGAGCGAGTGCGCTGGCACCCCGAGCGAGTACGTGGCCTACAAGGCTCTGGAGGAGAAGGAGAACCCCAAGTTCACTCTTTCGGACACCGATGCCGTCTATGTCGACCCCGGTCATCAAAGCCCGGAAATGTTCAAGACGATCGACATGCCCTCCGAGTATGAGGATGAGCGCAACGAGTACACCGCCCCTATCCTGGCCGACGACGAAGTCGCCAAGGACCCGTCCCCATACCAGCAGCCGGCCGTCGCTCCAGGCAAGGAACGTCTTGGCAGCGCACTCGAGATGGACGAGTCGATCAGCCGTCCGTCCAGCAGGCCCACGAGCCTTTACAAGGAGCCCACCTTCGAGAAGCAGTCCACGCCCCTAGAGGACGTGGAAGAGTACGAGCCTCTCTTTGGTGATGAAGACAAGGCCGCCAAGAAGCCAGCTGTCGAGGAGAAACCCAAGAAGGAGAAGAAGCAGCGTTTCCCTAGCGCCGACGTCTGGGAAGACGCACCTAGCAGTGTGCACTACACTGCCGAGGTTTCTACCCCCGATATCCCGGAGGAGCAGACTGAGTCGGCCACTGCGAGGTCAATTTCTCCCCCCCGAGATACCGAGACACCTGCCCAGGCCTTTGCCCGCCACCAGGAGGAGTTGGCGGAGAAGGAGGCAAGGGAAGGCGGTCCTGAGTGCTTCCTTCCCGGCCATAAGAAGAAGAAGCCTTCGTGGGTGGAACATCAGACACATCTCGCCAGCGAGCCCACCACTCGACCGAAAATGGCGCAGAGGTTCCCGAGTCGCGATGTATGGGAAGATACCCCCGACAGCCTCTTGCTCGAAACGACCGTATCAACTCCGCAGAATGACGACTCGGCAGAGCAGTCAAAACCCGAATCGCCCGACAGCTCAGCAAAACCTGCCATTCCCGAACGGCGACCCAAGCCCAGACAGGGGTCCGCGGACGACAAGCCGGCGATTCCAGATCGGCCCAAGCCCCAGATCCCTTCCCGTCCGGTCAAGGCGAGTCCTTCTTCTGGTGGACTAGAACCTGCCGAGGCCGCTGCTCCCCCCAAACAGAAGCCGGCCGTGCCTGCACGCCCGGTTGGTTCCAAGATCGCAGCGCTGTCGGCTGGTTTTATGAGCGACCTGAACCAGCGCCTGCGTCTCGGCCCACAAGCCCCCAAGAAGGAGGAACCCGCAGCCGAGGAGGCCGTCGAAGAGGAAAAGGAAAAGGCACCGCTCTCCGATGCGCGCAAGGGGCGGGCTAGGGGCCCCCAGAGGCGAGCACCGGCAAAGAGCGCCAGCCCTGCACCCCCGGTGGCCGAGCCTGAACAACCCAAGCTGGTGTTTACACAGGCCATGACCCTCTTTGAGATCGATCCAGAAGAGGGCGAGGTCAGTCTTGCTGCTCAGTCTGCTGAGTCTAAGGCCGTCGAGCAGGTCAAAGAGGAGCCCAAGCAGGAGTCCGCCACCAGTGCCGCCACTGAGGAAAAGGAGGCTGAGGAGTCCAAGGAGGAGCCCAGCAGCAGTGTTGCCATCGAGGCCGAGGACGTCAAAGAAACCGAAAAGGCTGCAGAGGCCGAGCCAGTCGAAGAAAAGACCGAAGAGAAGACCGAAGACACCAAGGTGGAGACACAGTCACTTGTGACCAACATGGCTGGGGAAACCATCTTGGAGGAGACGGTCAAGAAGGCGGCGGACGGCAACAGGGGTCTTCCTGTCGAGCCCATTGCCACGGAGGAGCGATGAATTCGATGAATTAATGACGGTTAGGAACAGGACCGGGAAAAGTTGTCTTGGAGGCTTTGGTGGGTTTGTTTGCTTTATCGGATGGCTGTGTTTTTCGGTCTCTTGCCCGATCGGAGGACTTTCTTAACCGGAGAGCGATGGATGGTATCCATTGCCTGTGTTGTTGTCTTTGGTAGCCTAGATAGACCTTTTATTTCATTCCCTCCTTTGACGAAAGACGCTGGGAAGTGTCGTGCGCGAAGTCGATAGTCCTTTATTCTGCGCAGCATCACGGATAGATACTACTGATTGGGAAAGCAATACTATTCTTTCCACGAACACAGAAATGCCACTTTGACTTGTCATCACGAGTTCACAACCAGATGTCCAACCTGCCAACCCCACCGAGGATTGTCAAGCCCCCCTGGCCCTCTCCAATGTGGAAGCATCCACATCTCAACTGTTTACGACTCGTAAAGTCCACAGCACGACAATGATGAGCCCCTCTCCCATGCTTTCAAAACACAACCAGCACACCAGGGCAACTTGGCCGAGCGGTCTAAGGCGCCACGTTAAGGAGATACCCTTAATCACACACCCCATCTTGATCTTCTGAGGTCATCATGAGTAGTTCCGTGGTCCGAAAGGGCGTGAGTTCGAATCTCACAGTTGTCAGCTGATATTTTTGCCGCCTTGACACAAGGCCGTGGATCACCTTTTGCTCTTTGTGTGCGGTGTGTGTTCTTTTTTGTGCGAGAGGGTGAAAGGGCTGTGGTGTGGGGACGGGACGGGCTGCCGCCGGCGATAGGGCGCATTCCGGAGCATGCACATCACCAACGAGCACCAGGACCGCTGGCGCAACGGTAGCGCGTTCGACTCCAGATCGAAAGGTTATCCGTTCAAATCGGGTGTGGTTCAATTCCCAAATTTAGCTAACCTCTCAGAGGTCAATATGCTGTGTTCTTTTTTTTATTCTTTTTTGGTGTTGGGAGGGGGGGATGTTTTTTTTGCGTCATGCAAGCAAGGCTGCTTGCGATCCTGGTGCTTGGTGTTTGGGAAGGAGGATGTAGCACGGTTGACTTCGACAACGGCTCCCTCTGACGAGATTCGGAACTCGTCGACACCATCTGCCGCGCACCTACCGCAACATCGTCGACACCATCTGCCGCGCACCTACCGCAACATCGTCGACTGCCAGATGGACTCCAGACCGCAGAGAGTCGAACTTCGAAGTTGCCCTGACTCGCTCCGCCGCTTCTTCTCCACCACTCTGCACGATCTTGACACGAGAGCCCGCAGCTCCAACTACAAAAGCCCTTTTTCCCAGGGCACGCTCCCATCCAGCCCGACCGGCCTTCAAGGTTGTATAGTGTAGCGGTTATCACATCGGATTCTGATGTCCTCCTCCAGTGCCCTCTGTAGGAGACCCAGACATTCCGGGGACCCCGGTTCGAGTCCGGGTACGACCTGATCATGTCCTGACGACAAGATTGAGAATGTTCTCTCTTTTTGCATCTCTTCTGCTCTTTCTGCAGAGTGTATGTTGGCCGCAACATTCTTTTTGCTCGCATGACAGTGAGAAAGAATCCCCCCTTGCCCAAGAGGCAAGGTCTGATCAAATGCAACGACATCAGGGCAGGACAAAAAAAGATGTGCCAGAGAAAAAATGTCAAAAAGAAACAGTACAACTTCATCGCCATCGGGAATTGAGCCCGACGTGGGGGTCGAACCCACAACCTTGAGATTAAGAGTCTCACGCTCTACCGATTGAGCTAGCCGGGCGAGTGGTTGTGTGTTTGTTGATGGAATGGAGTTGTGGGTATTAGGGTTCATGGTCAAGGAGGTGAGTCATGATGCCGTGCGTTGCCATGCAGACCAGCCCTGCACATGTAAGTGAAGAAAACAAAATCCAGCCATTGCCAGCTAATCCAGGAGTATCTCGCTATCATCATCATCACCACCCTTCGACCTCCTCCTCAGAGCTTTCAACTCCTCCGTCAGCCGGCCCGTCAACCTCTCCAGTATCCATTCCGCCTCCTCCATGCTCCCCATCAGCGGGCTCTTTGTCCCGACCCACGACCAAGACTCCCCTTCCCCGTCCTTCCCCTCTTCCTCTGGCGGTCGTTTCTTCTTATTCTTATGCAAAGCCCGATGTACGTGCCCCGGCCCGCGATGCCTGTCGGCATCCCCCTCGTCCTCGCCAACTAGTCGCAGGTACCACGCCCACTCGGCAAACGTGTACTTGCGCGGCGGCTTGCTCTTGAGGTGCTGCGTGACGCGGCCAATCTCCTCGACGAGCGTGATGTGGTAGTCGACCGGGTGTGCGGGGATGTCGGGGAGGGACTGGCGGGGGAGGGAGGCGGTGCGGGTGAATTTCAGGAGGGACTCGTTGTCCTTTTTGAACCCCTTCTTGCGGTTGGGGTGGGGGTCGTTGGTGAAGGAGATGCTCGGGCTGGAGTGTATCGAGGCCTGGGGGTGTTTTTGGTGCTTCTCCCCCGAGGAGGTATCCTCGGCGGCCTCCGAGTCGCTGGCGGCCCCGGACGCATCGCCGGAGACGTGGCTGCCGGTCTCGAGACTGGAGTGTGCTGAGAGAGGGGGGCGGGTTTCCGCTGCTGTGTTGGCGTCGACTCGCTTCGAGTGGACGGCGTCGTCGTGGGCGTCTCGGGATCTCTTCTCGTTGGCTTCGTCTGGGGCGGCACCTTCGGCCATGAGTTCGCGCTGGTCTCGTTGTATGCCGTCTTCGAGGTCGTCTCCGTTTCCATCCCCGGCGGCTTTCGAAGTGTCCCCCAGCAACCCGACCGGCTCGTCGCCCATATCTTCGTCTTCTTGAAACAGTTTGCCAAAAGAGATCTTTCCCAGGATCCGCTTCAAGTCCTTCTTGAAGCCGCGTTCGCCTGGAAGGATGGTAATGGTAGCGATCTGGTCGGTTCCGTCCCGGATAACTTTGACGACAGTGTCGCCGGCGTTGGATATGAGCACCGTCATGGTCGGCAGCGCCAACAGCGCCCAAAAGACCCAAAAGGACTTGCCACCATTCGACACGGGCGTCAAGTCCCCGTACCCAATGGTCGTAAGTCCCAGAAACGCAAAGTAAAAGCCATCGAAATAGTCCCAGCCCTGATATGGCGCCTCGCACTGCCTAAAGATCTCGGCACCCACGAGCCACAGCACCAGCCAGGTCGTCGTCGATATGGCCATCGAGTACCACCGCCTGCGGCGGTCCGCGACGTCTTGGATCTTGCGCATCAGCTTGAACTCAGCCTCGCGGCGCTCAAACTCGGTGAGACCAGTCGATGCGGCCGAGGGAGAGGACGACGTGTTGGGTGGTTGCTGCCCGTCCGAGATGGGAATGAGCATGTCGTCCTTGCCCTTTTTCACCATGCGCCGGAGGGTCTGGCGGCGCTTGCGCTCGACAACGCGCGCGTCGAAGCGGCGACGAGCGCGCTCCAGCATCAGACTGCGGATGGACCCGATGACGAGACCGAGGCTGATGATGCCGACGAGTGAGTAGGGTATGAGAACACCCTGGCCTACGCGCGTGGTTGGGTACATGTCGCCATATCCAACGGTGAAGAGCGTCACGGCGGCCCAGTAAACGGCGTCGAGATAGTGCCATTCCTCGATCTTGGAGAAGACGAGGGCGCCGATCAGGAGGTACAGCAAGAACATGATGGTCTGCAGCATCAGCGTCCGCTGGCTGGCCGTGAGCATGAAATCCTTGGGGTAGTGTCCTGCCTGGGCACCAGCAAAGGTGGTGGCCATGAGGGAAGCGACGACAAAGTACAAGACGGCCGAGTATATGGCGTAGTAGAATGCCTGGGACCAGATGTAGTCGATCTCGGGCTGGAGGACCAAAGGTCCGGCGGCGGTTGCGGTCAAGGTGATGAGGCATATCGAGGAGATGTACCAGCCGATGATCGTGACGGGTTGGGCGATGGAGAAGCGCAGGCGGCGTGTCATGTTGAGCAGGAGCGTCGAGTTGGCCACGAGGGCGATAACCAGCTGAACCGCGTTGACAGCCGTGAGCCATGGCGGGTCGCGGACATAGGTGGCGTCGTCAATGTTGATTCCTGCTGGGTAGTACTGTCGCCAGGGGCGCACCAGGGCGAGAATACTGAAGGCCGAGGCCACCGGACCCAGGGTGCCGGCGATCATGGGAAAGGCCGATGCGGCAAACCACCAACGGCTAGGGTCTTGATGGTGCGAGCCCTCATCTTTTGGGTGTTTATCCTTTGGGCGCTGGTCATGTTGCTGCTGCTGGCGGTGCAGTTGCCTCTCCGGGAGGTCGTTGGCGTCGTCGTCGCCGTCCTCCGCGCGGACATGGTCGTCGACGCGCTCCCCGCCGGCGTCGTTCATGGTTATTGCCGGGGGTTGGAGAAATGCATCTGGGTGGGAACTGTCCAAGGACCGAGTAAATAGTGCGATGTGTTGGGTGCTGTCAGGTTTTGCGGTGGTGTCGAGGCTCGAGATGATTGAAAAGGTGTGGTGGCAATAGTGCAAGGTGTTGGCTTCTTTGTTCTTAGAGGTTCTCTCTTCAGGTGGGTGAAGTTCTTAGGTGGGCGGGAGATGGGCCGTATATCCAACTTGGAACGCCAAAAGTCAACGTGATGGCCTAAATGTTGAGTGTTAACCAATTGATCAAAGAATAAATACCGGGAAAGCGTCCGTCTTCGTCTCACTTCAATCGCGCCAAGGGCGTTGGTGACGTCTGTTTTCGGGGGGACAGGGCACCTGCACTCGGTTCGGGTTGGAAAGGAGAGGTTTTCCGAGGTAGGTAACTCCCACTGGCCAGAAATTGACGGGCACACGGGGTGCACATGGTTTCTTTCCGGCGGCTGTTATTCAGCGCCCGTGACCATCGTCGTCATTGCTTGGCTGGTGTTGAACCCGACTCTTGGAATGAGCCAAGGCTATTCCCAATTGAGACGCAGAGGCAGCTGTATCACCTCGACAACCCATTCCATTCTATCCCCCCCCCTATCTGAAACAAATAAAATAAAATAAAGAATGTCTGACCTCAACCTGACTGATATCAGGGCACATCTATATGCAGTAATATGACGGACAAACTCTTCCCTTCCTCCATCTTCACCCCTCACCGACTCAGTCTCGCCCACCCCTTCCTGTCCCTCTTCTTCTTCCCCTCCTTCGCCTCGTAGCCCTCCTCCTGGACATTATGCCTCCCCACGACCTCCAAAAACACCTGATCCAACGTCGTCGGACTGACGCTATAATGCTCAATCCCCAACGCCTCCCTATTCTCCTCCAACAGCACCACCAACCTCCCAATCGCCGACGCCTCCCCCTTCGGCTTCTCCCCCTGGATGTCCTCCCCCCCACCACCGCCCCCGACAACCGCCTCCACGGGCACACTGAACCTCATCTGCCCATGATACGTCTTCTCCTCCATCTCCGCCCCCTTCCACATCCCCAGCACCCACCTCCTAACCCTCTCAATCTCCCCCTCCGTCGTCCTCGGCGCCGTCCTCGCAACCAAATGCACATGCAACCTCCCCCCAAACCGCCCTCTCAACCCCTCAATGCTCCCGAGCGCCAACATCCGCCTGGCCAAAATCCCCGCCCGCCCCGCCAACGCGTCCGCCTCCTCCATACTATGCGTCGTCAGCAAAATACTCCTCCCCTCCCCGGTCGCCGCCAGCGTCCGCCACATGACCCTCTTCGCCGCGGCATCCAACCCACTGCTCGGCTCATCCAGCAACACCACGCTCGGATTCCCCATCAGCGCGATCCCCAGCGACAGCTTCCGCTTATTCCCGCCGCTCAGCGCGTGCGCCTGCCTGTCGCGGAACGCCGCCAGCCCCACCGCGCGCAGGATGACGTCAATGTCGCGCTCGACGTCGTCGATGCCCCGCACGCGCGCGTAGAACCGCAGGTGCTCGGCGACCGTCATGGTGTCGATGGCGTCGAACTGCGGGCACACGCCGAGGTGGCGGCGGGCGGCCGACAGGTTGGTCGTCACCGACGCGGACTCGACAAAGACGTCGCCGCCGTGGCCCGCGTCCGGCGAGAGGTCGCCGCGGATGACCGAGATGGTGGTGGACTTGCCGGCGCCGTTGGGGCCGAGGAGGGCGAACACCTGGCCGTGCGGGACGCCAAAGGTGATGTTGTCGACGGCCGTGGTGCGGCCGAAGGATTTGGTCAGGTTGAGGACGCGGAGGCCGTCGGTGGGGGAGGGGGAGGACGGGTCGGTGACGGTGGACTTGATGCGGACGAGCTCGTGGGCGACTTCGGCGTCCGAGGTGTGGGCGGTGGCGTCGTCGGACGGGGGTGGGGCGCGGCGCCGGGAGAAGAGGCGCTTGAGCTTGGTGGAGGCGTTGCCGCTGTCGAAGAGGAGGAGGAGGCCGAAGAGGAGGAAGGTTTGGAGGAAGAGGTAGAGGATCGGGCCGCCGTACTGGAGGATGCCGCCGGGGTTCGGGGCGAGACGGTCGCCGTCGCAGGCCGTGGAGAA